GGGGAGAGCGATAAGCAGAAGGTGGAAGAGTGGGGGGGGGGAATCGTGAGGGCGGGCACGAGGAGAAAGGGAAGGACGAGGCGGTCCAGAACGAGGAGGAGTTGGATGATAAAGAAGATAGCAGGGAGGGCCAGGATGAAGACGAAGGGCGGGAAGGGCATGCAAGCATGCTGCTCCCTGTCGTCAGCGCTCTTGGTGGCCCAGGCTGGGCCGATACCCGCGGGGGGGGGGAGGCAATCAAGACGCGGAGGGAAGGATCACCTCTCGGGCTCAGGAGGGGCGCTGTTTTTTGGGGGGCGTTCCCTGGACCTATGGTCGTGGAACCTCTTCGTGACCGAGGCTCGCCATGGTCTGAATGGTCCCGTCGCTCCTTATTCAGCGTTCCTGTGGGTAGCACGCTGACTGTAGGCTCAGGGGGGAGCGCATCGACCCCCAATCGCCCATTCAGCGCCGACAGGGGCCTGACGGTCTACCTGGCCCTGGCACGCGCGGTTCCGCTGCCGAGAGCCTCTCGCCGATTTGTCGGCGATGTTCGCCGATGCCAGGTCGATGTTGCCCTCCCCAGAGCTGGTCCCCCCCGATCGTGCCCCCAGAGACCAACAGAAGACAAGAAACGGCGCGAAGTCATACAGTCGCGTTTGATTGGTAGGTCGGCCATGCCAAATCGAGGGCACCCTTGTGTCCTCTCTACATTACCGTGGCGAAAGTGTCTATCAATATGCCTTCGCCAATAGCGCAGCAGGGCGGAGTAGTTCGGAGTAAAAGTACTCCAGCTACTCCGCGCACGGGCGCATCCTGCCCGAAACTTTCTATGGCGTGGCGCGGAGTAGTTTCCGATCCGGTTTGGGGGTAAGAGAGTTTTAAGCATCAGGCAGATCGGAAACTACTCCGCCGAATGACGCCATCATCATGTTGTTGGAAACTTAAGTGGGACGGGAGCTATCTCCGCCATAGTAACTTGAAGAAACTTGTGTCACGGCTGTGTATCCCGACCTATGCATCCCGCATGTCTTTCGGTGTTCTGGGGCCGCGTTGCCTTCGGAAGAGTCTTGTGTCCTCTCGGGTGTCTTGTCCAATCAAGTCCGACTGTACGTGAGATTGGTCAACAGCCTCTGGGGACCTCCGAGGACAGAGGTCGTTCCAGAGTGAGCGGTGCACGCGGCGGCAGCAACCTGTACCCACGCCGTCGAGGCAGAAGCCTACGGCACCTTCAGGGCAATGGGACGGCCGACCAGGAGCAAGCAGACAGACAATAACAACCCAAAAGACAGTGTCGGTTGACGGAGGGATTGATTATTCAGATCCTGGGCTGTTTTCCCTAACACAGGCCATGGTGAATGATTAGGGCGTTGAGAGTTCCCCGCGGCAGGGGGCGCGAGTGGCATCGTTCCCGCTGTAAATACAGATTGGAAGGGGTATCCAGCAGGATTTGACCAAGGGTTTTGTGTTTGCAGTTTCTACCTCTCTCTCTATCTCTCTCTCCTTATGTCTCTCTCTCGTTCTCTCTCTCTCTCTATATATGTTGTGTTGTGGTTTCTTTCTTTCTTTTTCTCTCTCTCTCTCTCTCTCTTTCTCTGCGCATCATGCATGTATACGTGTTTTAAATCACGCTTTATCTCCCCGCGCGAGGCGCTACTGGACTGTGTTTCAGCACTCAGTCCGAATGTGAATGCTAGTCGTCGTTGCACCCACTCACTTTTGTGATTCACACCCCCCCGCGTTCGCTCACTCAGACACTGACCCATCCACTGAAGCCTGTTCACTCAACTCCTCCTTCATAGTTTAGGCAATTTTTTGATTAAGGGCCTGGTTGTCAACGCCGCTACTGTTCATGATCAGCGCTCGATGTAATGATGCGACGACCATCGGGTACACGAATGCATGTTCCTGGCGAGAGCCCGCCCTGTACCATTGGGGCGATTTTGATTCGACCTGAGAAAGCAAGGCTTAGGCAACGCGCGGAGAGCTTGGAGGCAAGCGGGTAGCCAGCTTACCGCGGCACGGAGGACTGCTGCCAAGTTTGTCTTCCTCTCGGGAGACGACTCCCCAGGCACCGCGAACGACTCCATTCTGCGCGAGGTCATCCCCACTCGTTGCTTCATGTGCTTGCTTGAGCACACTGGGAGCAAGGGGAGAGCGCGAAGTGGCGCGTTCCAGGAAGGGCCTCGTCTTCGAGGAATCGAGAAGTCATCCTTCCCCCGGCGGAAGCCGGCGAAAGCAACACAGGGACGGGTCCACCTGCGGAAGCCGGCAGCAGGCAAAACATTTTTTTGTTTCGCGGGTCGAGAGCGCACCTCTTCCGGTCGAAGCTAAGCGGGCCGCGCGAAGCTTGAATTAACCATAGAGGGGGAGGAAGTGACAGGCAAAACACGCGCCCCCAAGAAATGATGATGTGTTGGGATTCAGGGTTGCCGGATCTGGCCAAATGGGGGAGCACCGGAGAGCCATCGAAACAAGTGGCACGCACGCGCAGGCTCTTGTACGAGGACGCCTTCCTGGAGACATCTCGGGTCCATTCGGGCCCATTGGGGCCGTAATGCATGTCCTGGGGTTAGGGAGCTCCGAGATGGCCAGGGAGGCGACGACGACGAACGACGACGACGAAAATATAGAGTTCCGAGCTCTAGGATATTATGTTTTTCCTGGGCGCGTAACGGTCGTCACCGGCCCCCTCCCCTCCGCCTGGGTAACGGCAACGATCGTACGAAGGAGGAATTTGGAGCTGGTGCTCGCGCGCGTACTATGGCGGCCGCAGCGCACCAACGCCCCGACGTGCCCCACTCCGCCCAAGCGTTACCCTTACATGGGGCCCCACTCCCCACCCGATCCCCCCCCCCAGGTACCGACCGTTACCAGAGATAGTAAGAAACCGCTGCACAGCAGTGCAAGAGAATTACCTCTAGACTTTGAGTCTGGCGCCCGCAGATTTCAGCCACCAGGGAGCGCAGGGGGACTCGGTGATGCCAGGCCGCAGCAGCAGGCGTCCACAGCGCACTGCCAGAGACGCGCTGACATGGACAGCAGTCATCGTCGTCGTCGTCGTCGCCGTCGCCGTCGTTGTCGTCGTCGTCGTCGTCGTCGTCGTCGTCGCCACCCGCTGGCTTCGTGCACAGCGCGACGTTATTGGGTGACATACCAGTAACGCGACGACAAAGCTGCCAGAGGCGCGGTCGCGCCATATTATCTGACATCCTACTTGGTAAGGCTTCGGGTTGCGCATGGACGGCCCCCGTGGTAGTCTCGGCTGGCCTCAGGAGGATCCCCGAGCAGCCCGAGACGGTCTCGGCACCCTGCCGCCACCTCCAGGACTACACATTGTCCATTTCTAATTATTCGAAAGTTCTTTGATTTTTTGGGGGCCAAGATCCTTTCATTCCTAATTCTTCTATCCTGGGCCTCTTCCTGGCCACTAGGGGGCCAGGAACAATAAGAAACGAGCACAATTAGAAATGAGCACTATTGCACATGAACGACGTGTACTTGGGGGGCAGTCCGTGCGCAGCCCGAAAACTTACCAATCTTGCCCCCTCCAGCCCATCCAGTCCCATTGCGCTGCTTCCTCTGTGCGCCGACGAGCATATCCTGGAGGGAGAGTCTGCGCAGCGTCCGGCGGCACGCGTGCAGCATGCTTTGGACGCCCCTGCAGTCCAGAGGAGGCACCTGTACACCGCCGCCGTGCCCGGCCATGGCCACCCTCGGCCCCAGGGGCGGTGCACAATTAGACCCTCCCAGCCCCGGCTCGGAGGGCACGCGGCAGGGTTTCGCGGCGTGCCCACGCGGCGGCCACCTCGCCGCGGGCGTTCAGGGTTGAACGCCGCCGGTGGCCCAGAATCGACCGATATGGGGACGATCTGACGATCGGGAAGCCGCCGATCGTTCAAGGTTGACCGATCCACGCGGTGTCCTGAAGCCAGCGCTGAGGTCGCCTCGATCAGAACCTGCAGCGCACGCCGTGCCAAGGGCCCAGCGTTGCGCCGGCCAGGCACGGTGGAGGTGCAGCGGTGCCTTCTGCGCGCCCGATGGTTCCTCGACGCCGCTGGCCCAGGCTTTTCGAAGAGAGCGGGCGCTGCGCACGCCCTCCGGCCATGAAGAGCCGCACGGGCGTGGCCGCCGCCCCCGCGCGGACCAGGCAATGCCAAGGGGTGTCACCACGAGGGGGGTCACCACCTCCTCGAGGAGGAGGATGCCTCAGGACCGTCCCAAACCCCCAGACTTTCCCGAAACGCTTCAGCTCGCCGATCAGTTACACCAGCACAGAAACCCTGAACGGCGTCTCAGCAAGATCACATACGTAAACAGCGCCGCAGCGCGTGTACACCGCCTGTCTTTATTTGTCACGCGCAGGTGTAATATGTGGCTGGGCATTGTGGCAGGTGTTTTGTGGTTGTGTATGTGTCTGGGCACTGCGCATTTGCAGATTGTTTTTTGGGTATGTATATATCATGTGTATACTATATTGTATTATATTATATCATATTATATTATATCATATTTTATTGCATTCTATAGTACTAATTTATAATATAGCATATCATATTATAATATATATTAAATTATATTATATATTGTATTATGTCAATTTATATTACCTTATATTAACTTAGATTATCTTATATTATATTATATCATGTTATATCACATTATAGCATATTATATAATAGTATACCGTATTGTATTATAATATATATTGTTATATCATATTATATTGTAATATATTATATGTATTAAATTATGTTATACTATACTATCTTATATTATGGTATAGTATAATATGTTATATTATATGGTATTGTATTATATTACATTATATTATATTATATTGTATTATATTATATTATATTATACTATATCATATTATAGTATATCATATTATATTATATTATATTATACTATAGTATAGTATATTATAATATTGTATATTATATGTGCCATGCCCCCATGAGTATGGACGGAGCGAGGGGGGGGGCAGTGGCCGCAGGCGTAGGGACCACTCCGCTCAGAAGTCGTGCGCCCCCCCTGGACGTGGTGAGAGTCGGGGGGGAGGCTTGCAGCAGGGAGTGGTCCGTAGCGTCTCGGCTCGAGCTTGCTACTCTCCCCAGGTTTTGGCGCGCGAGCGCAGCCTTTTTCCATATCTTCAAATCTCATTGGGACTGGGGCCTAGGGGGCCCCCTCCCTGCATATACGATGCCGCCGCCTGGCAGCGGCGGAGGCCGCAGTGTCTCCCGCCGGCCAGCGGCTGTGGGCGCGCGGCGCGGCCGTGAGGGAGCAGGCGGTCGGGCGTCCCCCGGAAGGGCTGCCCCCCCTGCTGGGGCTTCCCCGCGTGGCCGTGGGCGTGGAGGCAGCCGGGCGCCGCCAAGAGGGGGCGCCCCGCCTGACCCGCCCCGCACGGCTGCGGACGGCAAGGCCCAGGCAGGCTCCTTCAAGGAGCCCGACGCCGACGATTACGACCGCCTCAAGGACTACGGTATCGACGACATCATCGAGGTCTGCGCCTTGAGCGGGCCGCCTCGGCGGGGTAAAGATCAGGAGACGGGCCCATTCGCCTTGTCTCTGAAGCCTCTCGGGGGCCGGCCCCGGGCCCCGCCCCCCAACGAGTACGGCTTCTTCCGGGAGGGTTGCTTGCTGGGGGCGTCCAAGGAGAGCTTCGGCAAGGTGCTCAACCAGGATTTCCAGCAGGACGGGAGCTCAGGGTGCGTGCACTTCTGCTGCTATGACAGGCCGGAGGTATGCCCAGAGGCGTGGGGCTCCCGGCAGGTCTACCACGTCGGGAAGTGGCGGCACCGGGAGGACAACAACAACGGCAAGGACTACTTCAGCCTCCCGGAGGAGCTCGGAATCCCTGGGCAGGAGTGTGAGCCCCGCGCCCCGGGCCCAGAGGCTCGGGGGGCGCGTGGAGCTCGCCCTGCACGGGGTGCGGGGTCGGCGGGTCATCCTGGTGGGGCCCCTCTGCTCGACGAGCCGGGCCGCGCCGGGAAGGATCCCTTTCCTCCTCGAGGCTTGGACGCCCGGCGCGAGGAGCTCAAGGGGAGGCTCGACAAGCTCAAAAACGATCTCGACCGGCGGACTCGGAGCGAGGATCGTCGGTCTCGGAGCCGCCGCGGCGAGCCCCGGAAGGCGAAGAAGAGCTTCGCAGAGGGCCTGTACGAACGTGCTGCCGACCAGCATGCCAGTGGCGCGACCCTGCCCAAAGATACGGTGAGGGAGGAGGAGTTGGAGAAGCTGCTCCGGAAGGCTTTCGCGGACAAGGGCGATGAGGAGACGGATTTTCCTTCGGCCCCTCCCAGAGCGCACATCGACTTGGCAGTCTTTGCGCGCCGGTACCCGGGTGTGCTGCTCCAGAGGGCCCTGCAGGAGATGCAGCGGTACCTGGCACCTCTGGGGGGGGCGTCCGCGGCGGCGAGCAGCGAGCAGCAGCACGGCAAGATCACGCAGTACCTCATCAGCGTCTTCTTCCAGCGTTACGGCGTGGAGACGATCGGCATCCGCAATGTGCGGGAGCTCCGCACGATCAGCGAATGCTTGGACGCCCTCCTGGACGGGGACCTCCCACGGCTGGGAGACGTGCTCGTGCAGCGATTCAAGGCTTTGGAGACGGCGGTCAGCGACGGGGGCTGGTCGATCGCGCGGCACCAGGAGCTCATCCCCAGCTCCGACGTGGGGCTGGCCAGCGAGAGGGAGCGGGCGGCCGCCATGCGCATAGAGCTGGACAGGGTCAAGCTCGCGGAGGCCGCCACGAGGACCCGGACGAGGGCAAGCCCGCCCGGCGTTGCCTGACGGTCCGGGCGCGCCCCCGGGCCGCCTCCGGCCCAGGGCGCGAGCCCAGCTCTCCGGGAGGAGGGCCCCAAGGAGGACGACGACAGAGCAGGATCAGCAGGAGGAGGAGGAGGATCGGCACAGGGTCGCACGGGCCCCCCTCCAGGGGCCAACAAGGCCACCTGGCGGAGACGGGCTCGGCGGCGCGCGGGCCTAGGGCGCGGGCAGGCTTCTGCGAACGCTCCTGGAGCTGCCCCCGTCCTCTCGGCGGAGCCGCGCCCCCCTGGAGCCGACCTCCGTGGCGAGCGATCCGCGACTCTGAGCCGGCCCCCTGCCGATCGGCCCCCTGGCGATTGGCGGAGTCCCAGGGCGGGCCACGGCGGCGGGGAGGGTCGCAGGGGGCCAGCCCCCGGCACCTTTGGAGAGGGGTCGGCGGGCTGGCCCGGCAACCCGCACCGCAGCAGGAGTCGCGGAGGGCAAAGGCGCACGACGTGGGCGCCAAGCGCAGATCGAGAGAGGAGGGCGCCCGTGATTCTGACCCCTGCCTCGGCGACAGCCCCATGGCGCCACTGACAGGGGAGCTCCACGAACTTGGGGCCGCGGCGTCAGGTGGCAAGACGATGGGTCAGCTGGGCAGGCACATCCTCCAGGCTGCTCGGCGGCGCGGCTCCCCCTACGGCGAGTGCGTGAGGCGACAGCTCACCGGCCAGCTATGGCAGGGAGGCAAGCGACAGCGAGATGTCCTTCCTCTCCCTGTCCCGTGGGGGGACGACGCTGTCGAGATGGCCATGGAACAGCTGGATGGGCGGTCGCTCCCGTCCAGTTGGCATCAGGGGCGTGACGAGCGAGCTCGGCTTGCAGGCATCGGCAGCTGGGTCATCCTCGTCATATCGGCCCTCAACTTCCTGTACGCGGGGGCGGACAAGCTCGTGGACCTGCGCCGGCGCGCGGGGCCGGCCAACCAATCCCAGATCAGAGCTCTCGAGAAGATCAAGGAGGCGTGCACTTATCACGTCGACCGCCGCTCCGAAGAGACAGGGGCGTTCGGACGGTCGCCGAAGATCGACTTCGACCAGATGCTCGGCAGGAAGCGGCTCTCTTACGAGGGCCACGAGGTCTCGATGCCGGAGAAGCTCACGCTGCAGGAGCTCCTCCCTGGCTTGCCGCCGCGCGGCGAGGCCGCCTCAGTCGACCCTTTGGAGTTTGCGTCCGAGGAGGTCGTTCACGCGCTGCTTCACCCTGAGCTGGTGTGCAATGTGGGCGGCCACTGTGGTCCCCAGCCGCCGGCGAAAGTACATGCTGAGGCAGCTGATTGGGACGTCATCGTCAAGGAGTTGCTGGAGCGTGGGGTCCTCGAAGAGATCCCGCACGACGCCATCGCGAGGGTCGGGGGTCAACCCATCCTGAACGGCGCCTTCGGGGTCGTGAAGAGCGGCACGCCCATGCCGCCAGCCACGAGGGTCCTGCGGCTCATCATCAACATGGTCCCAAGCAACCGGGTCCAGGTGCCGATCCTCGGTGACATCAAGCTCCTGCCCGTGGGCGGAGAGCACCACGTCACCGTCATCGAGGACGGGGAGTTGCTCGTTTGGTCAAGTGAGGACATCAAAGGATGTTTCCACGTGTTTAAGTTGCCGGCATGTTGGCGACCTTGGATGGCGCTCTCGCGGCCCGTTGCCCCGGCGGCCCTCGGTAGGGCCACAGGGCCCCCGATCTGGGTGTCGGTGGCGGCTGTGCCGATGGGGTGGCTATCCGCCGTCGGCATCGTGCAACACCTCACGAGGCGCATCGTCACGGGCGGCACGCTGACCAACACCAGCCTCGACGAGTCCGCGGAGCTCCGGCGCGACGCACGATTTCCTCTGCGTCTCCAGCACTTGCCACGGATGTGGTGGAAGGTCTACATCGACAACGTTGACATCGCCGAGGTGATGGTGCAAGGCGAGGCTGAGGACCTCCAGGGGACTCTCAGCGTCGAGCAGGTCGCCGTTCGGGATGCCCTTGCCCAGTGGGGCATTCGCCGGAACGAGGACAAGACAGTCGAGCGGTCTTTCCTTGCAACGTCGATGGGGTCAGCCGTGGATGGGCGGCGCGGGCGCGTGAGCCCCACCTTCGAGAAGCTCCTTCTCCACCTCGCTCTCACATGCTGGGTGCTCGCACGGCCCGACTGCAAGGCGATCTGGCTTGCCGCTGCCGCTGGCCGGTGGTGTTTCGATTTCGGGCATCGGCGGCCGGCCTTCGGCGCATTCGATCGCATCTGGAAGGAGATGTCAGAGTGGCGAGGGCGGCACCCCATATCGCGTACCTCTGGGGATGAGCTGTACATTGCCATGGCTATTTCCCCTCTGCTATTCGCTGACCTCCGGGCCGTCCTGCATCCGGAGCCGCTCGCGACCGACGCCTCAGAGTACGGTGGCGGGACGTGTGTCGGGGCATCGCTCACGCCAAAGGGCTGGGCAGCGGCCCAGACGGAGGCCGGGCCGGCGTGGCCAGAGAGCGGCCCAGTTTCGGAGACTGCTGCGAAAAAGTATGTAGTTCACGGTCTGTTGCGGCAAGCTGACCACCGCGGGAGCGATGTGCGGCTGGACTTGGGTCTGCCGTTCCGCCCGAGCGCGTGGCCGCGGGCTCCGATAGACGTCGAACGATGGCAGTGGCAAACTGTCCTGAGCCACGCTTGGCGCCGGCAGGGCCGCCACATTAATGAGCTCGAGTTGGCCGAGGTCCTGCTTGCTGTGAAATGGTTTTGCCGCAGGGCGGACCGGCTCGGAAGCAGGGTCGCCATTTTGGTGGACTCTCAGGTCACTCTTGCAGTTTGCGCCAAGGGGCGGTCATCCTCGAGGCGTTTGAACCACCTGTTGCGACGTCTTGATGCGTATTGCCTAGCTGCCTTCCTGTGGCCATTCTTTGGCTACGTAGCGAGCAAGGCCAACCCGGCCGACGGCCCTTCCCGTGCCCCTGGGAGGTTGTCCCGGCCGCGTGGCCGATACGAGGCCCCCCGAGACGCTCCCGGGAGGGCCGCGGGGGACCCTGCATCCAGCCATGAGTCCTAAGCAGGTCGCCGCGGCCACGAGGAAGGCTGGGCGCGCCGCTTCGCGCGCCTCTCTCGGCAAGCTTCAAGACCAGGTAGTCACAGCCGGGACTCTTGCCCGGTATCGGCAACAGGTGAAAGGTTTCTTAATTTGGCGATCGGCCGAGCTCGATGACCCGAGTGTTGAGGCCGATCTCGATGAGCAGCTCATGGCTTACATTGAAGTGCTGTGGGCAGAGGGCGACCCCAAAGCCTATGCAAATGATTTGGTTGCGGGGATCCAGCATTTCATGCCCCGGTACAGGAGAGCTCTGAACGGTAGCTGGCGGCTCCTGGGGGCGTGGGCCCGGGCTGAACTACCAGTCAGGGCCCCCCCTCTCAGTAAAAAGGTTGCCTTGGGTATCGCCGGCTACGCGGCCGTCCAGCGAAGCTACGCCTTAGGAGTTCTATGGCTTGTTGGCTTCCACTGTTGCCTCCGCTCAGGTGAGATGTTCGCCCTGCGAGCTGGCGACATCATTTTTGGGCAGGGCTCCAACTACGCCGTGCTCAACTTAAGGCTCACCAAGACCGGGGCGCGGCAGGGCGCTCAAGAGTCGGTCACAATTTCTGACAGTATCGTGGCCGCTCATTTGCAGCGTGTCGTGCGTGATTTGCCACCTGGGCAGTTGGTGTGCAGCTTGTCAGGCCCGTCGCAGCGGCAGATTTTCCGCGAGATATGCCGAGAACTGCAGCTGGACGAACACGGGTATGGCATGTATTCTTTCCGGCGAGGTGGTGCAACTCACGATTTCTCCCACCATGGGCGCCTCGACCGCACAATGGTGCGCGGACGATGGTCAAATTCACGCACGGCCCGCTTATACATAACCGAAGGCTTGGCTGCCCTATCGGACCTCCGACTCACGCCTCCGCAACACAGATTGTTGGAGACGGCTGCCAATTTTTGGCATCCAGGTTAGGGGTGTGTGGAAGATGTTTTCCGGGCGCTGTCTCCTCTCCTGCCCCTGTGGGCGCTCCTGGCAGTGGCTGGGAGGGCCCCGGTGGGCGAGAGGGTGAGCTAGCTCTTGCATGCCCGATTCATTTCCCTTTTACAGAAACCCCTGGCCACTGCGGAAAAATGCATCGAGCAGAGTCCATGTGCCATGCCCCCATGAGTATGGACGGAGCGAGGGGGGGGGCAGTGGCCGCAGGCGTAGGGACCACTCCGCTCAGAAGTCGTGCGCCCCCCCTGGACGTGGTGAGAGTCGGGGGGGAGGCTTGCAGCAGGGAGTGGTCCGTAGCGTCTCGGCTCGCCCGCCCTGCCCGCCCTTTTCGCTCGCCAGTCGAGGCTCAGCCTGGCTGGAAGATGTTTTCCGGGCGCTGTCTCCTCTCCTGCCCCTGTGGGCGCTCCTGGCAGTGGCTGGGAGGGCCCCGGTGGGCGAGAGGGTGAGCTAGCTCTTGCATGCCCGATTCATTTCCCTTTTACAGAAACCCCTGGCCACTGCGGAAAAATGCATCGAGCAGAGTCCATATATATATATACGCAGTGGCCATATATAATGGCCGTCGGCCCATCCTGCCACCTTGCCTGGCTTGTGGGTTAGAGGCCTCTTGGATGTTCGTTTGGATATCGTGGGAGGCCTCTCGGGCGCCTCCTGGAGGCAGCTTCGAGGCCTCTCCGGGGCCGTTTGGGGGCCTCCTGGGGCCTCTTTTTGGGCCCTCTGCCTCTTGGGCTCTCCTTGGGGCCTCTTGGGGCCTCCTGGGGGCCCCTTGAGGCGGAAGGCTTGAATTGTCGGTTCATGTTCCCCTCCTGGGCGCCTTTTGGGGCCGTCTTGGGGCCCTCTTGGGCTGTTTTGGAGCCCTCTCGGACCGTTTGGGGCCCTCATGGGCTCCTCTTGGGCCGTCTTGGGACGGTCTCGGGGGCCTCTAGGGCCATCTTGGAGCGTCGGAAGCCCGAAAACGCGAGAACGCGAAAAACATCGAACAACACAAGGACAACACAATGATTTGTGTCGCTTTGGGTCCTCTTGGATCGTTCTTGGGGCTTCTATGGGGCCTCATGGGCCGTCTTGGATCACTCTTGGGCTATCTTTGAGGCCTCGTGGTACCCCTCTTGGGCGCTTCTTGGTACCCCTCTGGGCCCGTTTGGGGGACACGTGGCCTCTGGAAAAGCCACGCGAGGCAGCCCAAGAGCGCGCGAAAGCGCCCGGGAAATTTGAGAATTTCATGCCCCAGGGGGACCGGCTCGTTTTTCTGATATCCTTGCTGCTTGCTGACACCGCGTTCGCCCGATGCGCTTGCACGCTTGCGTGCAGGAGGGAGGAAGGAATGCTGATTTGTTTCACGCGCGAAAGTCCTTTGACACGCCGAAGAAGTCGCAGTAGCTCCGAAGAAATCGATGCTTGGTCGCTTCCTGAATGCCTGGAACGCTCCAGGCACTCAGGAAATCTTCAATCGTCAAACTTCGAATCTAGATCCACTGCCTGTCTCTCTCGAATGGGGAACTTGAATTTCGAGCCTCAAGCGTGGATCCAAGATTGTCGGGTCAGCTCGATGTACTTCGTAGGGGAGCGCCGTTTGGGCTTTTGGTGGGCTCTTTTGGGACGTCCTGGGGCCCTCTTGGGCCGTCCTGAGGCCTTCTCGGGCCGTCTTGGGGAGCTGGAGCCCTCCAGAGGTCTTCTGAAGCCATCTAGGGGCCTTTATAGGGGCCTCCAATGGCTTTCTCGGGGGTCTCCCATGGCTTTCGTGGGTCTCTCTTGAGGGCCTTCTGGGGGCATCTTGGGCTTCTTGTGGGCAGTCTCGGGGCTCTCTGGGGTCTCGGGGCCCTCTTGGGCCGTCTTCAAACCCTCTGGGAGGCCTCGTGGGCCGTTTTGGGGCGATATCGGGGGCCCATCCGGCTAGCTTGGATGCTGCGAAGGCCCAAAAAGCGGATATACTAAAAATGCGGATTCTTTTGAGGGAGTGGGGCCATGTTTGCTTCTTCGGGTCTCTCTGATAGGCCTCTTGGGACGTCTTGGAGTCCTCTTGGGCCGTCTTCAGACCATCGAGCTTCTTCTTGGAGCGCTCTTGTGTTGTCTTTGGTCTCTCCTGCGCCTCTCCGATGACCCTTCTGATCGCCATGAGTCTGCTCGCATGGCCCGCAAGGCGCCTTGGGAGGCCCGGAGGGGCTAGCGTGCCTTTTCCAAGGGCGTCCAAGGGGCCGCCGAGACGTCTGAAAGGGCGTCCGGGGCGTGCCTGGGGGCGGGGTCCGGTTTAGGGGGGTGGAGGGGGGTAGGGGGGGGACCGGGTAAGAATACAAACATTTGCGTAACATATACAATATGTATACGTATGCGTGTATACATATATATATATATACACACGTGTATGTGTATGTAGGTATGTGTATATATGTATGTGTATATGTATACATATGTACATATGTATGTGTTCAAATAGACAAAACGTGAGGGTTCGCTTCGTTTCGCCTCGAATTTTGTTCCTGCGCCCAGGTACTGTGGGGGACTGCCGAAGGGAGCACCGGTGCGGAACAGTCATGACCAGGAGGGGGGTGCGGGTCATTGGTTGGGTGGAAACCACAGGCTCCCACTTGGGCGAAGGTGACGACCTCGATACTTGGGTGAGCGATAACCCCACCTGGGGTGACGGTTATGGCGTCGAGGGGGTGTACGTCATGACCGCGAGCTGGGTGAAGGTCATGGCGAAGCGGGGCCTGAGTTTGCCGCGAAGCCGATGACTGGGAACACACCGGTGAGATGAACGCGAGGGGCGTGAAAGTCATGGTACGAAAGGGCCTCAAGTCATGACCTTCATGACGGTTCAGTGCATGGCCGTGACATGGGATTGACACCATGACCAGCCAGGTGAACTCAGAAATTTGGAAAAGGAGGGGGTCATGGAGGTGATCATGAGAGGGCGAGGGTGGTAACCGTGAGATGGTTCTTGGTAAGTTTTGCGCGGGGTCACAGGTATACACCGTTAGGACGGCGCGCCCCATGACCGCGAGGGGGGTCGAGATCACGCTGGCCGAATTGCACGCAGCTTGTCGAAGAAACGCTTGGCCTGGCAAGCAGAGTGTCGGAGAGACACTCAGTGGGTTGGGAGGATGGGGCTCGGAAACATGATCCGAAGATCTGTATTATCACGCGCTGGTGGTACTTAGTGGATAGGTATGCGCACTTCCATTGGCCGTCGCACCCGAGCCCGCTGCAGCTTGAATTGCCTGCCAGTTGCGATGGCACTTCTGCTTGAGTTGCATTGGGTGTTTTGCTTTCGTCTCGCTGGAAACGACGTTACCGCTCGTCGCATTCACGCACCCCTCCTTCATCGCCAGCAGTTTCTTCTAAAGAGTTCAGCTCTGCGCGTCCTCTGGCTGGGCCTGCGCACTTGGGCAATACCTGCGGGTTCCGATCGGCAGCGATACTGCACCGCTGGCGCAGACGATTTACGCCGAAGTCACGGCGCGATCCATGAAGAACGGAAGCTGGCCAATGCAGTAATGATGTTGTATCGCGAACGAAACGCAATTCGGAGTGCACTATTACGTCCGCACCAGGACCGGAACGCAAGACGGTACATGCTCCGGCCCCGCGATCACCCAAAATTTGCACGAGCGCCAGGAAACAATCATGTGTGAATTTCGTGCCATCAGCACACCGCAATACGGAACCCGATGCGGAATTCATTACTGCATGGGGATTTGCCAGACCCCCTGGAATTTCGCATTCCCGTGGTTCATCCCCAGTGTTCGCCGCATCGCATCAACACCTGAGAACGTCCAAGATGGCTCTGAGTGGGGTCCGAACACATACAAGAAGGTTCTTGGATGGCCCCACCGAAAGACTTCGGCAGGGCTCCAAGAGGGCCCCGAAAGGACCACGAAGTAGGCTGCAGGGTGCAATTTGCTTTTTGGAAGTTCCCAGGGGTCCAGGATGGCCATGGGGAGGCCACGAAGTAGATTGCAGGTTGCAGTCCGCTTTTAAAGAAATTTGCGCGGTGTTGGATTGGCGGCCCATGCGCTGCGGTGACAACACATGTCTTTCTTGCTGGACGCAGGCGGCCGAGTGCACATGTCATTGCATCCGGATGCTATTGCTCATACTTTGCATGTTCCCAACCCCGTCCTCCAAACACGACAGTTGTCTCTCTCAGGGTGTTGTTTACGCGTATGAAAAATTGTCCTCGCCCTCAACCGAATCAGTGAGCAACACGATGGGCATGCCTCCCGTGGCCGCCAGGGCAAGTTTCTTGGGGCTCTCCTGGGACGTCTATCGGGTTCCTGGTCCATCAAGGAAGTCGCTGCGATGTTTTTGGGGCCTCCGCGGCGTCCAAAGAAAAGCGGGCGGCTGGCCGGGGAGGCCCGGGTGGCAGTCCGAAAGGTGCCCCGTGGCGGGGGGGATCTTCGCGCTTGGGGGCGACCTAGCTCTCTCCTATTGTCCAGGAAGCCAAGGATTAGATAGAGGCGAAGAGGAGGAGGAGGAGGAGGAGGAGGAGGAGGAGGAGCAGGCGGAGGAGGAGGAAGGGGAGGAGGAGGGCGAGGAGGATGGCGAGGAGGAGGAGGAGGAGAAGGAGGAGGAGGAGGAGGAGGAAGAGGACGGGAAATACACACACACACACACACACACGCACGCACGCACGCACGCACACACACACACAAACACACACACACACACACACACACGTGTACGCACGCACGCACGCACGCACACACAGACACACAGACACACACACAGACCAGACACACATACACACACACACACACACACACACGCACGCACGCACGCACGCACGCACACACGCACGCACACACATCCACACACAAACACACACGCACGCACGCACGCACGCACGTACTCACACACAGACACACACACAAACACACACACACACACACGCACACACACGCACGCACGCACGCACGCACGCGCACACACACACACAAGCACACACACACATACACACACGCACACACATAAACGCACGCACACGCAGACAGACAGACAGACGCACGCGCACACACACACACACACACACATACACACACACATCGATTTATGCCAGCGCACACATACGTTTGGTATCGTTTACCAGTGGCGGTGCTCTTCCTATCTGAACGAGGACTCTTTAAGCCATCCGTTGTTTGGGACGGCGCGCACGCCTGGGTGGCGCGCGGGGGCGGCCTTTCAAGAGTGCAGGGGACCTCTTACCAGGGCCCAGGGGGCTTCTCGTAAGGCCTCATAGAAGCCAGGAGGGCATCCAGGAAGGCACTGGCCTTCGAAGAAGCCCCCCCGTCGGGTGTCGCTAGAAGTGCCCCTGGCCCAAGGTGCCCCCAGCTTTTCGCCTCCATTTTGGGGCCCCCTGGGGCCCTCTGGGCCCTGCGAGGGGTGCCCTGGAGGCCGTCTGGGCCACCCCCGAGAATCCTGGGGGTGCCTTGGGCCAGGGGTGCTTTCTGGCAGCACCCGGCCCCGCCTCCTTGAACGGCCGCCGACCTCGGCCCAGGTGCGGCAGCTTCGCGTCGTGCCGGCTCGGCGGGGACCCCCGGCGCGGGCGTTCCAGGCTGAGCAGCGCCAGCGGCTCGGAGTCGGCCGGTGTCGAGCCACCGGCGCCGCGGGAAGGCCGAGGTCGCTCGCAGCTGAAGGATCCGCGCGGTGGCAGGCATCAGCCAGGCCTCGGACAGAAGCAGCGAACGCTCGTGCCACATTCATCCGTCAACGCCTCCCCCTCCCCCAATGTTCAAAGTTGGCGTTGGCGGTGGGTCTGATGAGTTGCACCTCGACCGCAGTCTCCCCCGCGCGTGCCAACTTTGAGTTCGGGGGGCAGGGGGGGTGTTCACTAATTGTTCCCCTCTACCGACGCGCAAGTCGTCGCGGCACGAACTTGCTATATTGTAATTCCCGTCGCGATTAGCGAGGCAAACTTAAGTCGCGCCGCGGGCAGCCTGCCCCCGCCCTCCGAAGTTGAAGCCAGCGCGTCGAGGTGCGCGGTTGGGGAGACACTCGGCCAAGAGCCCAGCGCGCCCGTTAACTCTGCAGGGGCTGCTCAACGAGGAGTGCCCATTACGTGTGTCGAGTTTGACAGGGCCGCTCAACGACGACGCAAAGCCATCGGGTGGCGCCGCGTTGATTGCGACGAAACTTGCGGTGTCAGGAATGCACGCTTGCGTGTGCAAGCTCGGAGGCACCGAGCTGTTCGTCGCGTGTGGCTGAACCTCAACCGTGAAACAGTTCCTCGTGGGGCGGGGTGAAAATGACAAAGAAACTTGCGGTGTCAGAAACCAACGCACCAGCCGTGGCGGCACGAACCTGCCGCACAGCACGCAGGCACATCAAGGAAGCAATCAGCTTGCCGGCGGGCGCCCCACGAGAATCTCTCATCTCCCGATGGGGCCGCAGAGCCTTGGGGCACCGTGCGAGGCCCAGCGCCGAGGGTGGACGTGCCCCCAGGCTTCTTAGAGCAAAATGTCTTACAGCCAACGCGCCTAGGAAGGACCCGCGCCTTGATCCAGGGTGCCCCTGTGTCATTGCCTCTGCGGCCCGTCATTTGCCGTAAGTTTTCACCAGCCGCCCGCGGCCCCAAAGTCCCGACTTCCGGCTCCAGGGATCTTGCGGCCCTACACCACCCGTCCTTGCTACTTGTTGTGATTGCATCGTACGTGCCTACCGCATCGGCATCCACCCCGTGGCACTGCCCGGCCGGACCCCGGCGCCCGCGACCAACGAGCCCGCCGCGGGCCTGCTCGGAGCGCCGCACGGGCTGCCGGCCATGCAGCCCATAGGCAGCGACGACTCGTCCGCGGACGACGCCGAGGACCGGCGACAGCTGCCGTACATGAACAATAGATTCGAACCCTTACACATTTGAGGGAGATTCTAGATCACCCCCGCGCCCCCGACATCAATGTTGATCTCAGTAAAGGCGGTGCTTTGGGGTTCGAATATTTCTGTCCACTCACGCCCCCCCCCGTCGCCACGCCATCAATATTAATTTCGGGGGGTCTGGGGGGCATCTTGGGCCACAGGGTTCGAATATAATGTCCATGTACTGTGGCTCGTTCCGGAAAGGGCCACAAGTCGGCGACTAGAGACTAGAAAGTGTATGGTTACGCTGGGGTGTGGTTTGCGACCGGCATTGCGGGAGCCTGGGGAGCACGACGCTGTCCTCGTCGGGCCTCCTCGGGGCGCGGCGGAGAGCTCCGTCGAGGTCCTCGCCCACCCCCCAGGGTGCCACCTGGGGCTCTGGTTGCAAACCCCACCCTTTGCAAACCACACCCTTCGGAGTCGCCGATCGAAAGGGACAGGAGTCACTGCAAGCGGGAGTCAGCCAGAGCGCTGGATCGCGCAGGATCCTGCAGAGCCAGGGGTGCACTGCCCCCGGCTTGGGCGCAGGATCCTGCAGGATCCTGCAGGATCCTGCCTGGCCCGACTGACCCGGGCTTGCACTGACCCAGATCAGTGCGACCCCGATAGGAAAGGGCCTCACCTCTGGCGCGCGTCGCCCTCGGCGGAAGGCGGGCGGAAGGCTGGCGGAAGTTGGCGGAAGCAAAACGGTGGCGGCTCCGTCGGCGGAAGCCAGCGGAAGTAAACCGAGGCGCTGACATTTGGTCCAACGTTTCTGGAACCGTCCTGCTGCCACAAGGGTTGAGAACAACCCCAGTTTTGGAGGGGTGCCCTTGCGTTCTTCGTGCTTTGGCTCTCCACCATGGAACGGTCGTCGTTGTGGGTATCTCCATGGGGTAGTGGGTCTTCCACGGCGGGGCTTCTCTTCGTGGCCCGCCTTCATGTGGCTATGCACGTAAGAGGGAGGAGGGAGGGGCCCACACGCTTTCGGAAGTTGTCGTGGGTTGCTGGAGGTTGTCGTTCTTCGAAATGCGTTCCAGCAGCTGCGCCTCGCCGAGAACGTTCTGGAGGTGCCCAGATGGTCCCGAACGGCCGCCGGGGGTCGAGTTGTGACCCGAGAGCCAAACGCGAGAGCGGCCCTGCGCAAGAGTGACCTTTGGTGGACGGCTTCCGGGGGGGAGTGGGAGAGCAAGACACAAGCACGCGTGCCGACACTGTCAGGCGATCGCAGACATGGATCCAGGGGTCGTGGATCAGCGACGGGGCCCGTGTCCATGGGAGGCCGTGGATTTCTCCGCCGCCGAGCGAGGCGGCACCGGCCGCACTTTGGGGAGGGCACCTCCCCCGATCCATGGATTTGGCGACCGCGCGCCAAATCCATGGATCGCTACGGTGGGGGCGTTCGTTGAGGCATGTGCCCAAGCGGCCTCAGACCCTGGAGGATTCCTTCTCTGATGTGGGCGGTGGTGATATCCATGACCAATCCACGATTGGCTTTCCACTGGCTTCCAGACCCTGAGATCCTTATCGAAGGTTTCCTTATCCAATGCCCCCACCGGGTCTCCGCCGCCGAGCGAGGCGGCACCGGCCGCACTTTGGGGAGGGCACCTCCCCCGATCCATGGATGGCGACCGCGCGCCAAATCCCTGGTCCCGAGCAACCCGTACAGGAAGGATGCGCGTATAGTAGAGGAGGGGGAGGAGGAGGTAGAGGAGGAGGAGGAGGAGGAGGAGGAGGAGGAGGAGGAGGAGGGACCATGTCGGCAGGCGTGCAGCTACCGTCGCATCGCACATGCAGCGGTCGGCAGGCCGCGCAGCGAAGGCCGAGTCGTTATCCTCCCTGGGCCTCGGTGGCCCTTACGGGGGCCACAAGGCTGCGGCCTGTGGCGGCCGCTCGGGACCGTGCACCTGGTGGGGAGTTCCTCCGAAGGGATTAAGCGACCCGTCCTCCTCCTCATCCTCCTCCTCCTCCTCCTCCTCCTCCTCCTCCTCCTCCTCCTCCCTCCTCCTCCTCCTCCTTCTCCTCCCTCCTCCTCCTCCTCCTCCTTCTCCTCATCCTCCTCCTCCTCCTCCAATTCCTCGGGTCGCCTACGGCCCCGGGGAAACCGTGCAGCACCGGGCATCCCAAAAGGCGCTGCCGACGAAGCGCAGCGGCTGGAAAGCACCCCGAGGCCAGAAAGCCTCCAGAAGCCAACGAAACGTTTTGGAAGTCTCCGAGGTGAGTCTCGTCCTTCTCAGGGTCCTGAGGAGGAGGAGGAGGAGGAGGAGGAGGAGCAGGAGAAGGAGAAGGAGGAGGAGGAGGAGGAAGAGAAAGAGAGGAGGAGGAGGAGGAGGACGAGGAGGAGGAGAGAAAGAGAGAAAGAGAGGAGGAGGAGGAGGAGAGAAAGAGAGGAGGAGGAGGAGGAGGAGGAGGAGGAGGAAGAGGAGGAGGAGGAGAGAAAGAGAGGAGGAGGAGGAGGAGGAGGAGGAGGAGGAGGAGGAGGACCAGCCAGCGTAAACCTAGAAACGCATTAGCGATGTTGCAAGAAACCCTCCCTCCAAGCTCCTTTTGCATAGGGTCCTACGACAAGTCGTCCTCATTGTGAAAAATGCCCAATTGGAAAACAAACGCATGATGATCCTCAAGCGCATTCGAACATGTCCAGGGACTTCAGCCTTGCGAGTAAACGTGACTGTCGTGCTATGACAATCCTAAGCCGCGCCAGAACACCATACCTGGGAATTAATCAGCACGAGTGCTGCGCTCTGACCGTCTACACTACTAGAACACCATTCCTAGGACTTCGACGGTGCAAGTCTTTGAAGCTGGTGTACGAGTTTAAAGGACATGCGTGCGGCGCCGAGGCGAGAGCCAAACTTCGGAAACGAACCGCCCTTCATCCGTGAAACTGTTTCGCATATGTCAGACGATTGTGCACGGCGCCTAGGCGAAAGCCACATGTTGAAAACGGCCGACGCTCCGTTTGTCAAACTATTGCAAACACTTAGGACGAATGCGCGCGGCGCTCAGGCGACATCAACATTAAACATTTTGTAAACGGTCCGCCTTCCGTCCGTGGAACAGTTGCAACCGTTTGAGACGAATGCGCGCGGCGCTGAGGCAAGCACGTGAGGATTCGACTGCAGCAGTCGGAGCAGGCACCTCTAGCGGACGGCCTCAATGCGCAGCTCGCCTAAGCCGACACTGTGTAGAAAGGGTCACCTCGACCGGTTCCACACGAAAGTGGTGGGCGACCCGCAGGCGTTTGGTGGTACGATCCCCATTGGAGAAGCTCCTGGAGGGTGACGTCAGCTGCTTCGACCTCGGGAGCTGCGACGGGCTCTTCGGCTTGGGGGATGTCTACGAGACCCCGTCGGTGGACCGCGCCAATGCAGAGGCACGCAAGACCCAACTGGTCGAGGGCGTCACCAAGCTGGCAGGGGATCTCTTAGGCAAGGCCGAAGAGATGGTCAACCGACTCAAAGCGGAACACCAGCAGCACTTGGACCAGCTCCCCCAGAAGAAGCGGAGGGCCGACGGCGAGCAGTCGGCAGCCAGCGATGTCGCAAGCCAGAAGCCCCCCGCAGCTGCTGTGGATGCTGCTCCTGGCAATCCTGACGGTATCGGCCAGCCCGCTGCCGCAGTCTCGCCAGCCACAGATGTCCGCTGGCGGGCCGCCGATCTCTTGGCCAATGGATGGGGAAGCTGGCAAAGGCCGAGGCAAGACCCCGGCCGCGGGCAAGGGCGACGGCGGCGCCGGAGGCAATGCCGCGGCCGACGCCGCCGCTAAGGCAGCTGGAGGCAAGAGAGGGGCGGGGGGGGAACGGACAGGGGGGCAACGCAGGCTTTGCATGCGAGCAACCAGGCTGAAGGCACACCTTTACGCCCCCTGGCGTTTCTCTTTCTGCCACCGCCTATGACCCCCCCCGCAGCGCCTTGCTGTCATGCTGCCGTGCGTCGCAGCGACGCCCCCCCCACCCGCCCATGGCACGGCGAAGGGGCTGGAGGGCATGGATTTGAGCGAGCTTGGCCGAGCATATTTCAGCGACGGTTTGGGGGGCCACGATGCTGCCAGGAAATCCCGACAAGTTTTAAGCCCGAGTGAAAGGGGGGGGCTGCTGCATGGAGATCTGCAACTCCACGAGTTGGGGGTCGCCTAAATGTGTTCCTGAGCGGGGGGCGTTTGCCCGAGTGGTCGTGTTCCAGGAGATCACGGTCGACCCCTGTGACGCTCGGAGTTGTGAGGATGAGCTTCAGAAGCAGGGGTGGAATTCATTTGTTCTGGTCTCGCAGGTTGACTGAAGCGGGAGGATTATCAGCGTGGGTTGGAGTGTGTGTGTGTGTGTGTGCGTGTGCGATCGTTTGTGAGCATCGGCTTTCCCCTCACCGCCGCGCCACCCTCCCGCATGGGCGGCGCGGCCTTCGAGCAGCCGAGGGCGAAGCGTGGGCGGTGCTACCAGCGGCGCTTCGGCGGCCGCTAAACAGCGGCGGCGGGCAGGGAAGCAGAACGACGCGTGCTGGAGGCCAAGGCGATCGCCACCAGCTCCCCGTGACTTGCAGCCCAGCAGGGCCGGAAGGCAGGACGCACAAGCGGCGGTACCAGTGCAGATGAGGGCGCGAGCGACACAGATTCCCCGCGCGAGGACGGTCGGTTGGGGCGCTCACGCAGCCCAGCAGCCGCTGGCCGAAGGGGCGCGAGGGCGAGCTGCAGCTGGCGTGGAGGTCACGACCTGGCTGACCTTGGGCACGAGATTCAGGCCAGCGGGCCCTACGCCTTCTGATGCCGCTGCGGGGCGTTCGCAAAGCTCGGGGGCAAGGACCGCGCCAAAGGCCCGAGGGCCCAGTGCCAGGGGAAACTGTCGCCAACGGAAATGGCGACTGCAGGCCAGAGGAAGAAGCAGCAGTGCTTGGCCAAGTTGCTGCGCGGCTGTGACCTTTACGCGGGCTGCCTGCTGCTGGATTGTCCAGGGCCGCGTGGACATCCCAGTTCCAGCGTTCAGAGACCTGGGCTCGTGAGTTCGGGCAACCTGCGACAGCAACTGGGTGTGGAAGCAGCTGCTGCTTGCTCTGGCGCTGGCCACGGGGGCCCAGGGTCCGAACGGTGCCAGGCTCCCCCGCCCAGCTGTGGTCGAGGCGCCTGCGGCCTGGCGGACGAGGCAGAGGCCGCGGGCCCAGTGGGGCACACGGCCGGGAGCCAACCTGTTGGCCGGTGCAAGCCCCACGACCACAAGGGCAGGGGTGCACGGGGTCCTCCCTGAGGAGGAAGTGGAGGAGGAGGAGGAGGAGGAGGAGGAGGAAGAGGGAGGAGGAGGAGAAGAAGGAGGAGGAGGAGGAGAAGGAGGAGGAGGAGGAGGAGGAGGAGGAGGAGGTGGAGGAGGAGGAGGAGGAGGAGGACGAGGAGGAGGAGGAGGACGAGGAGGAGGACGAGGACGAGGGCAGGCGGCCCCCGGCCTGCAGTCCTCGCCGCGAGTGCGGCGAGCTGCTCGGCGGCCGTGCGGAGGTAGCGCGGGACGTCGACCCGCCGAGCGCGGAGGAGGCCGTGCGGGGTGCTACACGCGCCCGCTCGCGGCCCGGATGCAGAGTGCCGCCCTTCGGCTCCTGCTGTCGGGCGGCGCACGCATGCGTCCACAGAGAGAGAGAGAGAGAGAGAGAGAAAAAAAAAAAAGACAAACATAGAGAGAGAGAGACAGAGAGAGAGAGGGCGAGAGAAGAGAGAGAGATAGAGAGGGGAGGGAGAGAAAGACAGGGAAAGAGGGAGAGAGAGAGGCTAGAGAGAGGCGAGAGTCAGAGAGAGCAGGAGGACAGAGGCGGAGAGCGGAGAGGGGGTAGTAGGAGGACGAGGGAGGACTCCCGAGACCCTGCCCATGGCCGCTCCGTGCCCAGGGTCCCCCCCTGCGCGCGAGCCCCCGAGGAGAGCGCGCCGGCCGCGGACGCGGCGGGGCCGCCCGCCGTGGGCGAGGCCCGGGCGGCGGGCGAGCAGGGCTACCAGGCGCGGCGGCGGGCGGCGCAGCAGGAGCACGCTCGCGCGGGGCTCAGACTTAAGTCTGGCTGTCCCTCCACAGGGGGGAATGTTCAAGCATAGTCCAAAAATAGTCCGGGGACCATTCTGTGACTGCTTGAGCTTTTTGGGCATATTTTTTGACTGCTTTTAATTTGTCCTCCGAGCTACTAACGACCAGCTCTCGTTTGGTGACGGCCCTTCCCAGGCCATCTACAGTCCGCACCTGCTACATGCTGCTGTGATGATGTATTGTGTTCTCTCAGCTTGTTCGCTGGCGGCAGATTTTTTACCTTCGTGCATTGGAGCTGTCAGAGTGCGGGCGCGCTTCGGCTGTCGCCACAAAGGAACATTATAGCTCGGCGTTTCCGTAGCCGCCACCAGCATTGGAGAGAGGGTGACGGAAGATCGCTCGACTGTCATCTCGAATCTCACCCATCATGTCGTCTTGAGGGGCGACTACGTGGCGGGCAGACATGTGAACAAATCGTGTGGTATAGCCATCCTTTCCAAATAATGCAATGTTCGATTCGCCTACGGTACCAGTTGTTTTCCAAGGACGTGTAGCTGCATCTTGGTTGTGTTCAGAGCGCTCCGGCTTGCTCATCCCAGTGACCTACGTCCAGCCTAGGTCCAGCGGTCATCGTGGACGGCGGGAATCGCATGCTCAGACGGCGCAGGCTCGCTACCTCTCAAACGTCGAATTCATGTGCCACTGGTTTGAACAAGTTCTGGCATGGTCCAAGTGGCGTCCTTCGTTGCTGTGAGGATATGGCTTGAACGACTCGTTCGGGTGGCGCCTGAGGGCGGATGGCGTGCAGGAGGCGGTCTGGTCGAAGGCATTTGGCTTATTTGAGAGCGGGGAGCAACATTACGCAGCCGACCAGGTGTTATATAGGTCCTGGACAAACACGCCATCATGGCGGTTACGACGTGCTACAACATCGGCGCCGCCGGCTTCGGGGCGCACGCGTTGAGCAGCATGTGTCACATGTCGGCGTTCGACTGGCAGGTACCGTCTGTGACACGTTGCGCGGCGTTGGGACGAGTCAACACGAAGTTGAAGTTGGGCGGGAAGGCCGGTCTGCAGGATCACGTCCCGCTGTTGCTCAAACTGGGCTACGCCTTCGTTTTCAGCTCATCCGCTCTTCTACGCGATGGGACTTTGACAAGCTGGCAACAGTTTTAGAAAACTAAATCGGTGTGCAGAGCTTCTACAGGACCTACAAGAACAGTTTCGAGGCCCCCCCCCCTCCGACGTTCACAAACTTTTTGTTGCAGGCGGCGGCGCCTGCTTAGGTGCGGGGTCCATGAATCACCGTGGCTCGTGCCACGGCTGAACGGCGTTTTGCGAGAGGATATAGCGGTTGGTCCGAAGGTGCAGCAGCACGTGAGGCTACGTGGCCGGCTCCTTCGCGATCGAAGGCAGGTTCGGGAGAAGGGAATTGGTGTTGATTGTGTTGGCCATGTCCCTGGATGAAGTTACGCCAGAAACGATTAGGACGCCAGGATGACATGACGGAGCTGCAGGTCGGCGAAATCGAGGACGCCTGGAAGAAGCAGAAGCACGCAGAAATCTGGCCTATAGCTGCTGTTCTCGCGGAGGCGCGTCGTGGCCGAAGACGTTTTTCTATGGAATGACTACTTCGAGGAGCTCAGTCGTGCCGGCGGGTTCTCGGCAGCCATCGTAGCCTTCAACGATTACCAGATGCAGTTGATCGAGGATCACCCCCCGCCGCTGCCCCTCGGGGGCGACGATGTCTTGCGTCTCGAACAAGGGCGCGATGATCTGAGGGCTGTCATGGAGTTGGCCGCCAAAGCACCGCGACGGAAAGCAGCCATGGCGCATTCCGCCCCGCCCGAGCTGATCATCGCAGCGTTGGGCCCGATGAGACGCCGCGCGCGCCGAGCAACGACGACGACGACGACGACGATGAGGGCGAAGGAGGTGGAGTCAGGCAGCTCGTCGAGTTCGCGTCTCGGCATCGGCTTCTTGGCGATCGTCGCGGGCCGGATGCGGAGCGGAGCAGGCCGGGGCAATTTTCCAATGAGTGAGAAGGCCTTCCAACATATCAGGCGAGCGCGGCCGGCGCTTGTCGCACGGCATACATCTCGGGCTGCGGCGCTGGGCGAGAGAAGCGGCGAGGGCGGCCCCATCTGCTCGGCGCCAAATTCACGATCTGCGCCAGGCGGGCGAGCGCCGCGCCTAAGACCTCAGTGTCGGAAGGGGGCCAGCGGACCGGACCGAGCACGTGATCGGGGGCGTGGTCATCCTCGCAGAAGGGGGCGCGAGGGGGCGCTCATCTCTCAGGACACCGATGGGGTGCCTTCTCGTCGGTTCGCATCTCAGTCGGTCACGCCGTCGCGTCGTCGGTCACGTCATCGCGTCGTCGGTCGCGTCGTCGCGTCGTCGTCGCGTCTCAGGCGTATATCATCTCGTCGGTCACGTCGAAGGAACCCATGTCTAGCGATCACGGGTGTTCGGTTCGGATTTCCCGGCGCTGCGCAGCGTGGCGGGGGCTTCGATCCAGGGGGCCGACCAGAGCTGCCTCCGTCGGCGCCGCGAGCCCAGCGCCGCCGCGATCAGTGGAGCGGACAGACAGCAGACGATGAACGACCTGTGTGGACCGCGCAGGGGAGACAGCCCTGCCGCTGTCTTCTGTGCTCAGACCTTCCGCAGACCAGATCCAGCGCGGCTGGGCGCGCTGCTGGTCAGGGCGCGGCGCGGAGTGCTCAGGAGGGAGAAAATACACAGACACAATTAATCGTCGATTCCCCGGAAAATATGGGAAATGGGGGGAAGACAAAACGCAGAAAATACCAGAACTTATGGGGGCTCCTGTTCTTAGGGCGCATTTACTTGCGTGTCCCAGGGCCCCTTCAAGCATGTCCGACGTGGGCGACGAGCTATATGCGAAGTGGTCGGGGCAGGAGCCGGCCCCCCCGCCGCCGCCCGCGGGCCCCAGCCGCGCTCCGTGGCAGAGCGAGGCGCTCTGCGCGGCACGGTGGACGCCGACGCTGCGAGGGGGCCCGCGGGCCTGTCGTGTCGCGTCGACGCCGACGACGCCGGCGCGGCGCGCGTCGCCACCGCCGCTGCCAAGAACGCACAGTTAGTTCGCGCTGGAGCACGCGCGCGGCGGATGGAGACAGACTCTTCCACGCAGCACGTCGCCGCCATCTTCTTTCGCCGTTCGAGGTTCTCGCGCGCGTGCCGCTGCTGCTGCGTTTGGGGGCGGGGCGAAACTTCCTGGCCGCTCGCCGTTGGGCGGCGTCGTCGCGCCAGGGGCCGAAGCGGCCGTCGGTGGAGGGCCCGGGGGAACATCGGAGGCGCATCTTGGCTCGAAGGCCGAGGCTGCATATCCACGTGGCGGTTCTGGTCCAAGAGCCGAGTCTGGAAGTTCACTATGGATCCCTGCCCTCGGACCTAACAGCTCTGAACATGACGGATGTTGTGGAGCTGCTTCTCGACCTCATGCCGGTGGGATTTGATCGGGAACGCGCAGGGGCGCGCGTGCGCAGGCGGGGGGAGCTCGATGAGGGAAGCGGGCCCGTTCTGGATGAGCATGGCAGGCCCGTCCTATACATTATCTCGCCACGTCGACAGAGGTCGCTCTGCGTCGCGCCGAAGGCGCCCCGTCGATGATAAGCAGATATCCCCCAGAAGCGCCGCCCTTTTCCACCCTTCCCTTGAACCCGAGGGCCAGTTCCGCCCCGTGTCCGAGCTCGCCCTTCGCGCCCCCAAGAGACCGCCCGCCCTCCGCTGCGATGGCGTTCCGTCCAGGCGATGAGCAGCGGGCGGCCGCAGGGAGGTCGCGCTCGCGCGGGGCCGCCCGCGGGCTCGCGAAAGGGCCGCGCCGGCTCGGCAGCCGCCGGCCGCCGGCGCGGCGGAAGGCGCAGGGCGCCGCGAGGTCGCCGGCCGCCGGCCCGG